TGTAATAAGAAAGGATCTACCACCCAATTATTTTATGATTGGAATGTTCCTGTCAGCGACATAGAAAGGTGAAAAGTAAAGATGGATTTGGAATCTTCTGAACAAAAATTGAACAACGTGTGCTTGAATAATAAAATCAGTGAACAAGACAATTTAGTATATTTTCTTTTGTCAACCTTTATAATGTGTTCTTATCAAAAAGTGAAGATCCTTTTTTGTTCTATATCACTTATTATTTATAAGGGATATTCCCAAGAGACCCTTAAAAAGTACAATATAAGGAATATCCAAGGGAATATTCCTGGTTCTCCTTTTTCTAGGCATGTCCTTCCGTTATAATTGCAATTCCTGTTATGCGTCCTCGCCAATGACCCTTACGAGGGCGACCCCTTCGTTATCGTGCCGTGGTCGACCCCGTCCTTGGCACGACTTATTTGCAGTTACGGAGTTGCCAAATTTTGACCAATACAATTTTAAAGGAGAAGATACTTTTTGAGCAAATTAAATTTTTTATTATGAGAAAACGTTAGTCTGCAGTCTAAAATTTTATTATTTACTGCAAACGTTAGATAACAGTTTAATGTTTTGTCTGTAAAATTAAGAAAACTAACGCTTATATAAGCAACTATTAGATCCATGTCTAACATTGTCCAAAAGGTATAATATCCTAGAGCTATCACACATACAATCATACTCAACTCAATGAAATTGTTTGATCTTCGAGGAGATCTTCTATAATTTTGCATGTGAGGGGTTATTTCTTAGTTTCGTTCAGTCATTAATAACTTAATTATTTTTAGATAATAGTAGATAGAAACAACGCTTGTGAGGAGTCCTATTAAAACCAAGAAATATAGGTCTGTCTATTATTCACACCAGAATAAATAGAGTTTTTCCGAAAGAACCCGCTAGCGGAGGAATAAGTGACATAAGGCTAGAGAGAGAGCAAAAAAAGGATTACACATCCTAGAGCTATATTTGCATAACTTTTTGAAATAGGAATAAAATATAAACGGCGATCTAAAATAGACATTTGCATAAATTAGCCTTCAAGTTTAGATAGGTTCAAACAGATAGAATAGAAAAAGAGGTCATGTCAAATTAATCCAAGGTTTAATTAGGTCAAAGTGAGTTGAATCAAGATTCATCGAGTAACATGTCCTGGCTCACTTAAAGTAAGGTTTGAATCAAAATGGATATGAGTAAGATGCGTCAAATAATATGATCATAACTCAACTCATCAAAGTTGATCAACTAAAAATGAGTTGAATAATGAGTCATAATCCAATTCGTTCAGACTTGGATTATACTTTTGTGAATCATAAAACTTCCAATTACCTCATAAAGATTTTGTGGGTGTTTGGATATAAGAATTGTGAAATTTTAGAAGTATCTCAAGTGAAAATGATATTTAATAAAATTGTGTTTGGATATGAATACAATTTGAAGTTGTTTTTGAATTTTGTGAGTGTTTGAAGTGAAAAATTTTGATAATTTTTTTTTAGAGTTTTTCAAATTTTCAAAAAATTTCGAAATTCAACTTCAAATGAAATTTGAAAATTTCATGGCCAAACACTGATTCAGAAAAAATGAAAAATTTTCGAAAAAGTAATTTGTTTTACGGCCAAAACGGGCGCTTAGTGTCATTTCCGAGAACAAAGCTTTATATTTATGCAGTTTGAAACCTAATATTCCTATACAAAGCATGAATTTTGAAACAATGTCTTTGAATGATTCCCTCCAAAAATGAAACTGGAAAAAATTTCATGTATCTTGGTAGTTGGTACCCATCATATTTAACCTGCCTATTGACAAAGAGGATAAGATAGTAAGATAGTGAATGCCATTAAGTAATGGCTGCGAATAGTTTTTTGTGGTCCTACTTAGCACCCTACCTTACAAGTGGACTTTACAACAAAAGTCAAGAGTACATGACTTTTGGTGTATAAATATCATGTTAGATTTTGACACTATTGAAATGGTCACGCTGTTCGGTTGGTTAACTATATGAATTTTTATTTTGCTGGTAGTGATTCGATTCTTCACCCTATAATAATTCGATCTTTCATTTCCCATTCCCTTTTTCTTATGTATAATCGAAAATTANGTTTTCAGTTCATATGTCAAACTTGTTCTAAGTAGCGCATTATTGTTATTGCTGCTTTTGAGGGTTTACACACACACACACACTGTCATGTTTGTTATTGGCTAGTATAGCATGTTTGAAGCTTATAGTGGCTAAATGCTAAACTTCTCTGTCTGTCTTCAGATGCAGGTACAAAGCCGCCCCCCCCCCCCCCCCCCTTTTGTGGACCTCTTTTTGACCACCCACATCTCAAAAGTAGTAAATCAATCAACAGCAACACTTGGTCAGCAAATTTGGTGGAAACTGTTGAAAAAGGTTAAATATAAAAAAAACAAGAGAGCAGTGAAAAGTTAAAAATGAGTATACCAACAGTATCAAAATGTAGGATAGGTTTACGATAGATTTAACACGTCTTAGAAATGCAAATTGCTGGTAATAAAAGTAGCAAGTAAAACACATGACCCACCAATTATGGGGGAAGGGCACCGTTAACCACTAATAACATATATATTTACTTTTAAGTCATTGTTTAAAATATCTTTAGTCTTTAGTCACTGCTTTAATAAATTTTACCTGTCCGGACGAAAATACCCTTCTGCTCATAAAGTTCAGGACCAAGTATTCTTAACTTTTGAACTTACAACTCTAAGTTCAGGACTTCAGGACTATATGTTATTAACTTTTGAACTTGCAATTCCAAGTTCAGGACTTCAGGACTACATGTCCTTAACTTTTGAACTTGGAACTCGAAGTTCAGGACCATCTGTCCTTAATTTCTGTGCTTGTAACTCTAAGTTAAGGACTACTTGTCCTTAACTTTTGAACTTGTAAGTCTAAGTTCAGGACCAAGTGTTCTTAACTTTTGAACTTGTAACTGTAAGTTCAGGACCAAGTGTCCTTAACTTTTGAGCTTGTTAGTCTAAGTTCAGGACCAAGTGTCCTCAATTTTTGAGTTTGTTAGTCTAAGTTCAGGACCTATTGTCCTTAGCTTTTGAGCTTGTTAGTCTAAGTTCAAGACCAAGTGTCCTTAACTTTTAAACTTGTAATTTTAAGTTCAGGATCAAGTGTCCTTAACTTTTGAACTTGAAACTCGAAGTTCAGAACCAAGTTATAAAAAGAATAGAGACAAGGATTTGCAAGTTAGTTAGATTTTAAAAAAATTAAAATTAATTTTGTAAGCTAAGTACAATTGAAAATTTCCAAAAAGGAGAACAATAAATCTGAAGAAACAAAGTCAAATGATTCAATCGCAGCTTGAAATTGCAAATGGGCTAAACTAGATGGCCGACCGACCATTGGGCTATATTATCCCAAATTAGCTCTGGCAAAAGCATAAACGGTTCTGGGTGCCTACTTATGTCTTCGCAGTAGCCGTATCGCCTGCGGCACAGTTCGTTCTCCCTAACATGAAAGAAATAGAAGAAAGATAACACAGTTTTTTTATATTAATTTTAATAGATTAGTGGCTACTATTGCTAAGCATTGAAAATGCTGAATAAAAAATAAATATCACTTTAAAAAGTAGCTACCCCACACAATTTTTATCCAATTATTGTTATCGCGTTTATATTACTACTAACTAATTTATTTGCTTTCTCATTTAAAACTACAAAAAAATTGCTTTTGTGACAGCTATTACCTCCCGTCAACTTTAATTAATTGTTTTGTCTTTTTCTTTTTTAATCCATAATATTTGATTTTTTCAGCTATCAAGAAAGAATTAATATTTTTTTTCCAAAGTTGCCCTTGGAGTAAAGAAGTTAGGAGTATTTGTTATATTTTCAATGATCAAAATAAGGTTAATATGGTCAACTTCATTATTAATTAATGTTAAAAAGTAAATTTCTTAATATACGTGAAAACAACCAAAAAATCAATTAAAGTGGGCAAGAGGGTAGGTTATTTTTATATTCCTTTTTCTTTCTCCATCAACTCCTCTTTACTCACTTCACTTTTCGATATAATTTACACCTTTCAACCTAGTCGTAAACATTTGATTATTTGCAGGACTAACATGAGAAGTAGTCTGCCAACATCATATATTTTTAAGGTGTAGCAGCGGCAGATGCAGGAATTATGTTAAGAGGGTTAAAAAAAAAAAGTTAAAAAATTAAAAGATACTATAGCCAATGGAAATTAAACCATGGACCTTACAAAGGTTTGAACCATTTTAAACACTAAGTTATTCTTTTGGGTTGTATTAAAGAGATTCAAAGTATAATATATAGTGCAAACCGAAGTTTACCTTATATGTACAATATAGTTTTCCAGCGAAGGAGATACGGGTAAATCACCTTCCGCCCCCTTTAAATTCGTCTTTTGGTATAGTCTTTACTCAAACGTTTTATAAATACAAGATATTTTGTACACCTCATTGATAAAGAGTCGAGCTTCGTTTGCCACAGCCCACAAGAACGTAACCCTTTTAGCAAATGGTATAAAGCTATACACTAGGAATAAATACTTTTTACTTGGTTAATACTAGAGTGTAGCTAAATTCTAAGATTGGAATTGGAATCTGATAATTCTGTTCACAACAGCCAGGACCATTCTTCTTCTAAAGCAGAATTCGAAGCAAGAGTACATCATTTTCTATTAACATAGTGACGCGGTTCTTCTCTAAATCCTACAAATCCTAGGTAAATACAAGATTCTTTGTGAATTAGTTTATTCGATGCGGGTCCAACAATATTTTGGAAGAATTGAACATACCATAACCTAGATCCCTCTTCTTTTCCCTTGTATTCTTTCGATTGATTCTTTTTCACTTTTAAAGGGTAGGATAAAGATCAATCAGAAGTCAGAACCCAATAATTTCAAACACATAACACGTTAAAATTTGCCAACCCACATTAAAATATAGGTTAATAACATTAATTTCTTCCTTTGAAAACCGTTCCTTCATTTAAAACTCTTGAAATGTGAGAAATCTCCACATGTACTACTTCACACTTGAGCTCAGCACACTCACCCCCTCTCTCACTCACTTTGCAAAAATAGCCACCGTAGCCAAATCTCCACCATTTTCTTCCTCCTTAACAATGGCTACTACTCCATTTTCTCTACATTTCTTCTTTCTATTTCTCTTTTGCCCATTTTTCGTATCCTTTGCCCAAAAAAAACCAGAAATTCAAGCTCTTGAATCGTTCAAACTTAATATTCATGACCCAATTGGAGCACTTAACAACTGGGATTCTAAATCTCTTTCTGCTCCATGTGATTGGCGTGGAATTGTTTGTTTAAACGGCAGCGTTAGTGAACTTCGTTTGCCACGTTTACAGTTGAGTGGTCCACTCACTGCAGAAATTGCTAACCTGCGCATGTTGCGTAAGCTTAGCCTCCGTTCCAATTTCTTCAATGGTACTATCCCTGCTTCACTCTCTAAATGCACATTACTTGATACTGTTTATTTACAGTACAACTCGTTTTCCGGTGAGATTCCGCCGGAGATCTCGAAGCTGAAACAACTTTTTACTTTTAATGTCGCCGGAAATCAGTTGTACGGTGAAATCCCCGGCGAGTTGCCGGCCAGTCTCCGGTACTTTGATATCTCAGAAAATTCGCTCTCCGGTAGCATACCGGAGAAAATATCGGAACTGTCTCAGCTTACTCTGTTTAATATTTCTTACAATCAATTCTCAGGAGGAATTCCGGCGAGTTTTGGTTTGCTTCAACAGCTTCAGTATATTTTACTTGATTATAATAAATTAGAAGGAACATTGCCTTCTGCAATTGCTAACTGTTCATTTTTAGTGCATTTGAGTGCTGAAGGCAATAGTATTAGTGGTATTATACCTGCGGCAATTGCTGCTCTTCCGAAGATTAATGTGATTAATTTATCGCATAATAACCTTTCTGGATTTTTACCATATTCAATGTTCTGCAATGGTTCTGTAAATCCTCCGTCCCTTAGGATTATTCAATTGAATCACAATGCTTTTACGGAGATTTTGCAGCCACAGTTGTCAACTTGTGTTAGTTTTTTGCAAGTTTTGGATCTTCAACAGAATCAGATAGACGGAATTTTTCCAACTTTCTTGACAGACAATTCTACATTGAGGTCTCTGGACTTGTCAGGGAATTTGTTTTCAGGTAAAATCCCCGGTTCTATTGGGAATTTGTTGAGATTGGAGCAATTGAGAATGGCGAATAATTCGTTTGAGGGTGATATACCCATTGGAATCACGAAATGTAGTGGTTTGACGGTTCTTGATCTTGAAGGGAACCGATTGATAGGGGAAATTCCGGGCTTTTTAGGTGATCTTAGAAGCTTGAAGATTTTGTCACTTGGAAGAAATCAGTTTTCGGGTTTAATTCCTTCTAGTTTTGGCAATATCACTAGTCTTGAAAGTCTGAATTTGGAAGGGAATCGCCTTACGGGAAGCTTGCCTGAGGAGTTAATGCTTTTGAGCAATTTAAGTATACTAAATCTTAGTGGAAACAAGCTTTCTGGTAGTATTCCTGTTGGTATTGGGAACTTTCAGCAGTTATCAGTTCTGAATTTGAGTAGAAATGAATTCTCAGGGAGTATTCCGTCTACACTTGGAACTCTGTATAAGCTAGTAGCTCTTGATTTGAGTGGACAGAATTTATCGGGGGAATTGCCATCGGATCTTGCAGGTTTACCTAATTTACAAGTGATTTCTTTGCAAGAAAACAAGTTGTCTGGGGATGTTCCTGAAGGTTTTAGTAGCTTAATGGGTTTGCAGTACTTGAATCTATCTTCCAATTCATTTTCGGGCCATATACCGTCTACGTTTGGCTTCTTGACCTCGTTAGTTGTTCTTTCGTTGTCTAACAATAACATATCTGGTTCAGTTCCTCCCGACTTGGGTAATTCCTCTGCTTTAGACGCTTTAAATCTGCGGTCAAATGCATTGATTGGCCAAATTCCTTCTGATCTTGCACGTCTCTCCCACTTGAGTGTGCTGGATTTGGGTAGAAATAACCTGACGGGTGAAATTCCAGGAGTTATTTCAAATTGTTCATCCCTCACGTCGCTTGTGCTGGACATGAACCATCTTTCCGGGAACATACCAGCGTCACTGTCAAGCTTATCAAGCTTAAATACGCTTGACCTTTCTGGAAACAACCTGAATGGAGAAATCCCAGAAAATCTTACAATGCTCCTGGCCTTGGTGAACTTCAATGTGTCGAACAATAAATTGGAAGGCCAGATACCAACGACGCTCGGCTCTCGTTTTAATGACCCATTGGATTACACTGGCAACCAGGGTTTGTGCGGGGAGCCATTGGACAGAAAATGTGAGAGATCTAGTAATGGTAGGAATAGATTGATTATGTTTATTGCAGTGGCTGCAAGTGGAGGTCTTCTCCTTGCATCATGCTGCTGCTTTTACATATACGCCCTGTTGAGGTGGCGCAGGAAGCTCAAAGAAAAGGCAGCTGGAGAGAAGAAGCATAGCCCTGCAAGGGTTAGTTCAAGATCCAGTCGCAGTCGTGGCAGTGGCGTCAATGGTGGACCAAAACTTGTTATGTTCAATAACAAAATCACAGTCGCTGAAACAATCGAAGCAACAAGGGAATTTGATGAGGAAAACGTGCTAAGCAGAACACGCCACGGAGTGCTATTCAAGGCTTGTTACAATGATGGAATGCTGCTCTCGATTTGTAGACTACCAGATGGATCACTAGATGAGAACAAGTTCAGAAAAGAGGCCGAATCACTTGGCAGATTGAAGCACAGAAACCTAACTGTTCTCCGCGGGTACTATGCTGGTCCTCCAGACCTTAGACTACTTGCATATGATTACATGCCAAATGGAAACCTTGCGACACTACTTCAAGAAGCATCCCACCAAGATGGTCATGTCCTCAATTGGCCAATGCGACACCTCATTGCACTTGGCATTGCTCGCGCATTGGCTTTCCTCCACGCATCCTCTATTGTTCATGGAGATGTTAAACCACAAAATGTCCTATTCGATGCAGACTTTGAAGCCCATCTTTCAGATTTCGGCTTAGACAAGCTTACAGTAGCAACATCAGCCGAGCCTTCCACTTCAACATCAGTTGGGACTATAGGATACGTAGCGCCAGAAACAGCATTAACAGGAGAAGCCACGAGACAGTCAGATGTTTATAGCTTTGGCATTGTATTACTGGAACTACTAACAGGAAAAAGGCCATTAATGTTCACTCAAGATGAGGACATTGTGAAATGGGTAAAGAGGCAATTGCAGAGAGGGCAAATATCAGAACTGTTAGAGCCAGGTTTGCTTGAGTTGGACCCAGAATCATCAGAATGGGAGGAGTTCTTGTTAGGAATAAAAGTAGGTTTGCTTTGCACAGCACCGGACCCCCTTGATCGACCCACCATGACCGACGTTGTGTTCATGCTTGAAGGTTGTCGTGTCGGCCCCAATATATCTTCTGCCGATCCCACTGATCAAATTTCACTCGCCTGAAGAACCTAGGCATGCAATGGTAACCCGTAAAATCCAAGGTTTCATTCTAATTCTTTACCTTTTTTATTGGCTCTGTTAATATTTGTGGAATTTGGATTACATTGTAACAGTAGCGAGCACCAGCTTTTCAATTTTTATTCTCAAATTTTGTAGCTGTAGCCATTTTATTGATTCTGTTTTCTATTACAAAGGTCCTTTTGAGCCAAAAAGATGAAGTGTATTCTCTTTACCTGTTTAAGCTTTTAGATGGGTGGTTGAACAATTCAAGAATTCCTTTAGATGGAGACCGGACTACAGTGTAATACTACTAAGTTCTTTTTTTTCTTCAAAGAAAGGAAATGTTGGGATACTGTTAGGGAGTCATTAATAGGACTGGTGTGCACTTAATTAGGATTAATTAGTAAAGGAGAGTAGGAAGTATTGAAGGGTACTTAAATGGGGACTGAAATGTTGCCATTATTCTAAACCTTAGTTAATGGCATGCATAGATAGACACCCTGTCAAAAGAAAGAAAAACACAATAAAAGTCGTATTTTCTAGAATGCATTAAGGTGTGTGTAATCACTAATTCCCCGGTCCACAATAAGTAATTTTTTGACTTTTTTCTTGTGGGCTAAAATAAGTGATTTTTCTAGATTTCAAGAATGAATTAATTATTTTTTTCCTACATTACCCTTGGAGTAAATAACGTTGGAGTATGTGTTAGGAGTGTTTATGTGAAAAGATATTAAAGGCTAATATAGTCAATTTTATTACTAATTAATGTTAAAAGGTAAATTTTTTATGTGTGAAAATAATAGAAAATTCAATTATTTTGAACTGGAGAGAGTATTCAGCAGCATTAATAAAGTACGATGCATTAAAGGAGTGTGTAATCACTAGTCAGCAGCATTAATGAAGTAGTACAATCACGGGATCCAGTGTAATGTTTGCGGGCGGGCTCAAGTGAACCCAATATTTTCGGTGTGAATCATAAATTTATGTGGAAAAATTTGTTATAATTACAATAAATACTAGGTCTAAACCCATTGATTTTAAGAATAAGATTGAACTTATAGGATTTAAATCTTGGATCCGCCTCTGAGTTTGTACGATTATAGTTTAGTTACTTCTTCTCAGTATTTGTTTTTCAACATACTTACTACCGTGGGCGGATCTACAATGTAACATGTGATTTTCCGTGAACTCAATAGTTCTTGCCAAAATCTTGTATATGTATTAAGAAAATCATTAAATATTTACGATATTGCCCTAGAAACCTGTAAATTTCAAATTTTGTATTTCCGTCTCTACAGACAATAGAGTACCAACAGAAACAAAAGTAATGACAAACAAGGCCCCTCTCATGCTTCAGGTAGGGGGCTGGGAATGGGAGGGGACGAGATTTGTGGGCGTTGGGGAGATGAGGGGGTCAAAGTTTGTGGCGATTTGGGGACACAGATAAAAAAGGAACTATATTGAAAGAGACAAAGGGTGAGAGAGACTTTACGGCATGATGATTTTGATGGTGACACTAAGATGAATTAATTCCAACATTGTATGGGTGTGTCATTATTTCATGTATTCAATATTGTTTTCTTTTTGTTTTATGATACATGTGCAGCATGGTCAGCACCATTTTTGTCATCCATTTAATAGAAATATTTTTTCATATTTGATGTTTCCACATGATGTTATATAAAAACCTGAGAAAATGATCATTCAATATCTGTTCATTTATGTAAAAAAAAATTGGCGTGTCACGTATCATTAGCAATGCCGGATCCAAAATTAAAATTTAATGGATTCAGTTTTTAAAATTTTTAGCATTGCACTTATTGAATTGTTAAAATTATAGGTTCAAATCTAAATATTTGTTGAAATTTTAGCAAGTGATTTACATATAAATTCATACTCCCTCTTGAAAGTTATGAGTTTAATTGAACTCGTAGCGGAAATGTTACATACGCCCCTGATCATTAGTGTAGCCACTTCTCCTTCCGACCTTCCAGTACCGGGCAGGTGTGTGTTTTTAATAAACAGTTGCTACCCCTGGTATGTGCCGCTTTTCTAATCAAAAACCTTTTGTCGCCTGTTAGCTACACCAGACCAAGAAAAGGAAAACTAATCAACCAAGACTCAGTCACGACCTTCATAACCTCACGACCACTTTCTTTCCTTGTATAAATATCGAGGGCGAATAAATATCTTTGCAATCAAGATCTAACTACAAAATGATTTCTTACTTAATTTGGTAATATTGTCGACCATATCACGAGATTATGCTCGAAAAGGACAAGGCCATCAACATGAAATGATTCTCTTTATATAAAGAGCTGAAAAGTCTTTTCACATCAACAAGGCATGGAATACAATAGCTTGTTTTTAGTCGCATAGGGTTGAGATCTATGCTAATAATTTTTTTTTATATAGTGAAATCAGATGCCATGAGACCTTTAGACCTGTATATCTTTGTCTATATGTATTGTATTTATTTCTTTTCTTTTTTTCATGTTGTAAGTGCTACAAATCGCAATAATGTTACAGCATGTAATTATTGTTGTTCCAAGGAGACAGTCCCACTTGGATAAACAGTGGTTGAGAACGGTGATTTGACTATAAGTTGGATTAAAGTTTTGAGAGTAACTTGTGCAAATTAATACCGGGGTTCTTTTTTTTGTTACCGTTCGAAATCCATTGGTTGACTTTCAACTAAAGGGGTTAATCGGGCCAGGCCGGCTCACGAACAACCCAAATCGATCCGGTTCATCCCAATTTGGTAAAGGGTGGGACAGGTTGGCTAGGGTAGGGGGTTGTGCCGGACAGGGTCGGACCTTTTTTGGTTATTGGTGCACCGGAACCCGGCTAGCCCGCTAACCCCGTTCAAGGGTTTTAATCGTATTCCAATCCGGTCCAGCGCGGTTTAAATTGTAATTTTTTTTAAAAAAAAATTCTGACGGTTACCAATGGTCAAAATAAAAAATGACCATTGGGAAACAACCAGTTTTTGCACTTTTAGTCATTTCGGCCTTCCCCTTACTAAAATATCCCATCCGCCCCTAATAATTGACAAATTACATTCTTAGCCTCTTAATAACTATAAATAGCCCCCTTCTTCTTCATTTTTTTTCTCACAAATTGCCCTCTTCTTCTACTCTAATTCTCTCTCAATTCCTTCTTGATTATTGAATTGCTTATTGCTCTCAAGTTCTCAATTAATTAATATTTCAAGTTTTATCAATTATTTATGGTAGCCACTACAAAATTACTATTATCAAGTGAAATGTGGTTACTATTTTTGTTAGGTTCAAGTTGAATCATGGCCCGTGCTTTTAGAGTACGTTCACATGTTTGGGAACACTTTGAGGTGGTAGAAGAAAATGAAGAAGTTTGCAAAGTAGAGTGCAAGAACTGTGGTCGAGACTTTAATGTTCGTCGAAAGTGGGAGGGCACATCTGGTTTAAGAAGGCATATCAAGGGTTGTCTTGAGCGTCCTTAATGTAAGACTTTAATGTTCGTTGAATTTGTTAGACTTATTTAAGCTTAATTTGTTAGTTTATAAGACAAGTTAATTTGAAGTATTATTATGCAATGAAAATATGAAATAAAAGCCTTTGAATTTTGATCCTTACATATTGGTCTTATTAAATAATAATGAGAAAATCTCACTTTATACCCATCAATTCCAAACTATTTACCCTTTAATGCCCATACCCAAACTATTTACTACTCCTACCCATGCGCCCTAAACTATTTACCCGATTTTTGTTTAGACTCTTCCACAAGAACAGTGAAACAAAAAAGACCAAGAAATAGCAAAGAAAAAGGTAGCCATGGATGCGGAAGAAAGAACACAACAACCCCAGCTAGTTCTTGCACACAAACTCTTCCTTTTGACACACCTAGATGTCAATGACTTGGATAAAGTTTGCCTCCTTGAAGAAGACTTGGACAAACTCTTCCATTTCCCTTATATCCTTCTTCAAAAAGAAATTAGATCTGATTATCTGAGAAGTTGGCCTCTGGCTAGTTTCAATCCTGCTCCACTTTTTCTTGGTTGTTCTTTTCCTAGCTCTTGCTCTTGCCTTGGCCCTTGAATTTAAAATTTTTATTTTGAAGATTGCTTGTTTGATTCAAAGTAGGTGTTGTTAAATATTGCTTGTAGTACCTTCTGGAAGTTCAAACGGAAATTTGATAGCATTTGGAGCTGATTTGAGGTGATTAAGATCGAATTTTTCAGTTGAAAATCGAAGAACACAGCAACAGTATACCGCTACGGTATACAATATACTATAGGAGTATATAGCTATACTGCAACAATATACTATTATAGTATACAATATATTGTTATAGTATACTATAATAATATGCAATATATTCTAACAGTATGCTATAATAGAATACAATATACTATTATAGTATACTTATTACACGTAAATTCACTTGTCTTTTCTCTTTTAATTTGCTTTAAGCTTTTACCCAGTGTGAGGGGCAAATTAAAAATGTAGAAAAAAATATATATTATAGTATGATATATAATGTAACAGTATACTCTTACAATTAGATCCTTTTAGAATTTTTTGAAATTTTTATTGACAAATGATATTATTTCAGTTTAATAATTAAATTAATTTTTTTAACTCTTTGCGTATAATTGTATATGGTATAGCTATATACTATACTGGTATCATATGTTAGTTAATATTTTTTGGTTGTATTAGATACATTTAATTGGTACACAATTTGATTTTTCTTTAGTAATAGTATAAAAAAAGAATAATAAAAATAGTGAAAACAGTAAATGAAATTAGATTATGAAGAGAAAAAGAATATATAAAAAAAAGGTTAAATGAAATTAGAAAAGGGAAAAAGAAAAAAATAAGAAGAAACCGAGAAAAAAGAAAAGAAAAAAAAAAGAAAAGAAGCATGGAAATAAAAAAGAATAGGAGAATAAAGAAAAAATTCTCCACAAAAACTACTATGGGTAGGAAATGTAATTAGTTTATGGGTAGAAAAATAAATGGGTAGAAAAGGGTAAATAGTTTTATTTTTGTGGGTAACTGTGTCAAAACCCCTTAAATAATTTTATTTAGCAATTTAATTTCAATATTCAAATTTTAAAATTCAAATTTCAAATTTAAAACTTTTATTTTTATGCCTTAAAATACTTATTTTATTATTTAAAAGTTTGCAAACACTTTAGTAACAATTACATTGAACAAGAAAATATAATACA